GCAGCGTAAAAATTTCTCACTAATGCTGTTAAACCAACACTTCTCTCTGAGTTTTCCCCGTCCGTATGTGCCGAACATGATTCAAGTTGGTGGTTTGCATATAAGCCACAAACCATCACCTTTACCAATTGATATAGCTGATTTTATTAATGGTGCTGAAAATGGTGTGATATATTTCTCAATGGGTTCTAATATAAAAAGTGAGAAATTACCAAAAGAAACTATTGATATATTTTTAAAAACATTTGCTTCCTTACCGCAACGTGTGTTATGGAAATTTGAAGCAGAAAAGTTACCAGGTAAACCAGATAATGTTTTCATTAGCAAATGGTTTCCACAGCCTGATATATTAGCCCATCCAAAAGTCAAATTATTTATTACGCATGGTGGTTTACTTAGTACAATGGAGGCTATATATTACGCCAAGCCTATAATTGGCATACCAAACTTTTTTGATCAATTTCTGAATGTGGCTAACGCAGTAAAATCAGGATATGCGTTAGATGTTGATATTAACACCATCAGCATTGCAAGCTTCGGTGCTAAAATTAAAAAGATTTTGAGTAATAAAATTTATACGGAAAAGATTAAAAAAATATCTCGCCAATATCATGATCAGCCCATTAAACCAATTGATGCAGCCATTTATTGGACAGAATATGTACTACGGCATGAAGGAGCAAACCATATGCGCGTTGCTGGTCAGGATTTGAATTTTATGGAGGTGCATAGTTTAGATGTAATTGGTGTTTTGATATTTGTATCTGCAGTGGGTTTATGGGTAATTTATTGGTTTATGAGCAAAATTTTAGGTTTCATATTCACGTCAAATGCAATTAAACATAAAAAAGAATAAAAAAACATGTATTTGGCGATCTTAACAAAGTAGATGGTCCTAATGTTTTAACCAACTAAGTTCAAACAAGATTAAAAAAAATCCTTGAAAGTAACTTTTTCAATCTAAACTATTTTTAAATGTAAGTTATAGTCATTTTATAATCTAGTAAATAAAAATAGTATTGTTAAATAGCAAACTCCAATTATATACCGAAAATATAGAAAAATTGTATCAAATAAATTAACTTAAGTTATTTTAATTTATAAAGCCCTATGGGTTTCACGGCCATTTACTTTATGGTTCATTTTACTCATTTTGATTGTTATTATCGAAATAGGACACCTAATGATATTAAAACACCACTTTCCGAATGTTACTGTTTATTAGTACTGAATTAATTCGATGGATACCGGGAAACACTTCCACAAAAAGTTAAAAGTTAATATAAATAGATGTATAATGAATATATTATATATGCTTAGAAATAACTTTATTACTTCATCACAAAGAAGAGTTCCATAACTGAAGTTTATAATAATATAATAATGCTATGTTTGAATTTGAGTGTCAAAATATACACCTATCAGCCTCTATGCGAATATCGAGGGGTGAAAGAATTATTAATTATTCTTCTTTAGAGTTACTAAACAAGAATAATAAGTCTTTATTGCTAGTTTCAAGTCCTGTAATGAATAGGTGGATTATAACAGCAAAAGGTGGTGTATATTCATTCAATAAAGCCCGTTCAATATCTAAAAATCTCTAAGTTCTACTTAATTCTTTCCAATGGATCCATTGAAACAATGGACTTGTATTGAATTTGAATTTCAACCCAACCATTCTTAAAGCACAAATTTTTTCGCCCAATAAATGAACAATAAATTTTTTTTTAAACTGAAAATTACATATAAATGGTTTAATTAGAACTGCTTAATTTTTATTATTTTAATTAGCACTGTTGATCGGTTGGGACATTGCATAGACCTTTTATGAATTAAGGTAGATTTCTTCAAAATATATATATATTTATATTTATAAATATGTGCAAGATAACTAGCATATTCTAAAATCACAATAAAATGTAAACAATTTATTTAACGTTATTATAAAACAAATAAATATTTTATGGCTACATTTTGACCAACATCAAATTTATGGTCAAAATAATCGACTTACCGAAATATCTTTAAAGTTTTAAGAAACTCAGTTCGTATTCTTACTAGAATACTGAAGTGGCACTGTGCTATTATACTTAAGTTTCAACGATAGTAAAATTCAATGAGCGGACATTGAATGAAGCAGGAGTTGTCATGATAAAAAAGATGTAGAATCTATTAATAACTTTCTATGTCTCTGCCCGGGATTACAGATAAAGCGGCTCCATTGTATAATGGAAACAATTGTTAGTATAAGTCGCCTCTTTCTTAAAACTTTAAGGGCATCATAATAAGCAATCAGTTGCACCTTTCAATCATATTATTACTAACCATATTATTATTAAAAAATTTGGATGAAATGTCAATGTTCAGTATCCAACTATTAAAAACTTAGACGTATTGCACTGAAGTAGGGAGAAACATTCTGATGGTACTATCACCCAAGCTTTTGTTATAATTAAATTTAAAAATATAAAAAGCCAAGACCTATATTGGCTTCTTGGTAAAAATTCCAGTTGTCAATAGATAACAAACTACTAATTTACAAAACTATTATTGTTCCGATTTGGAAATACGGAATTGAAATATGGGGAACCACCTGCAAAACTTATATTAATACTATTCAAAGACTGCAATCAAATATCCTGCGAACGATAATAGACGCCAGATTGTACATCAGAAACGACGATATTTACAAAGACCTGAATATCCGTACTGTACATGAAACATTCCCTGCGGAGAGGGGAAAAGAATACTCCCGCGGTTAGGATGGCCTGTCGTAAGAGGCGACTAATATCCCCTAGTGCCAGTCTGGCACTTACGCAAGAAGTGCGAATGGTAGTGAGTTGTGGGCGGCAACTTGCGACATTTGACCAGAGATGATACTATCTGGTACTTCGGGGGTCAGTGGTCCGACAGCTTCGGCTGTGCTGACCATTGGCGTTGGACTCGAAGTGGTTGTGGCTAATAACCAAAGTCACGCGGGAAGAATGTTTTGCTTGTCATTCATTCGCCGTGGTGTGCGTTTCAAACCGGGTGCTGTGACTCAAAGATCAGCAGGGGTCAGTAGGTAGGCCTCGCATCTTACCAAGGTGAAAGTTATAACTTGCATGAATTTCTTTATTGGTGCCGGCGGAATAGAAGCAGACTATTCCAATGGGGCGTTGATTGACGCTTAAATTAATACGTGTGTTAAGAGCACCGTGGTGTTAAGCCATCGATGGCAGGAAATCACGTAAAAAAACACAGGATGTATGTACTTGAAACAATTCAAAAAAGCAGTACTAACCACTTATCTAAATTGCTTCAGCATTCAAACCTAGAAATGAGGAGACTTCCTGCCTTGGAACTAGGGTACAAAAAACGTCTTAAACGTACACTTCCAACATACTTAAGTATTAAGTATTATATTAAGTTGCATTCTTTACTTTAATTTATGTTTATTAATTATTATTTATTATTTATATATTTATCTTTTTATTTATTTATTTATTACTTATTTATTTATTTATTTATTTATTTATTTATTTACTTATTTATTTATTTATTTTATTTACTTGTTTATTATATTTTATTTACTTATTTATTTACTTATGTATTTATTTATCTAATTATTAAGAAATATATTGAAATTTGTATGAAATATATCATTATCATTAACATGTTATCTTAAATGATGATTTAAGACAACTCAAGCTTCCAAATTTTCATTTGTTAAAAGTATATCTAGTAATAATAAGATAGTTGTAAAATCAAAAAAAATAAAATAATATTTATTGTATAAAAAATTTTAGTTATATAGTTTTAGAGCAACTTGAAACAGATCACAGAACTTGATCCACAACGATGATCCGAAAAAAGGAATTTTTTTTTTTCAGTAGATAGAAAGCATCAACAGCCACAACGTGAGATTTTAACCCACTAAAACCATCTATTAGAAATGAATTGAGATTTCCACCAATGAACCAGGCGGCATCGCTAGAAAGTATGAGCGTGGTGGAGGTGGAAGGAAGAATGTGTTACTACGCAAACACGGGGTGGGCACGCAAGAGGTCAAAGGAAAAGATGTTAGGTGTTGAAGCGTTTGGGGTGGGTTATGCAATCGCGTGAAGTGGCGTCGGACGATCGTCAAGAGGTACTCCCCGATGCGAGTAATTTTAAAGCATGAGATCCGGAAAGTCATTATGCGTACGCCTATAGTTGGTGTAATTTCGAAGGACGTTGCGCTCAAAAAGGCGGATTCTTTCAATTAAGCAGAGCTGGTTACAGATCAATTGGGGAAGGTATACGAGAAAAAAAAGCGAATGAATTGTTTATAGTAGAGCAGTTTAAATTTACATGTAATGGGGTTGTGCTTTTTAAAGCAAATTTTTAGTTGGATATCCCTAAGAGTGGCGTTTTGCATAGCATAGTTAATATGTTGGATAAAGTTGTGTTGAGGGGAAGCCACAATACCTAGATACTTGAGCTTGTCAACTGAGCTGAATGCGGGTATTGTCGATGGGTGAGAAATTGGAACTAATATGTTTTATTAAAAAGCTGATTGTTGCTATTGTTCTTTGGGATTCGTTTATTTTGACTCCTAGCAGAGTTTAGCTGCACATTAACGAGCCGCAGAAACGAGCTTTAGCTGCGGTGAATTTCAGCTGGTTTTGGATTGTTTACTGTTTGTTGTGATTGCGATTGCCAATTCGACAGGGATCTCTTATGTTATATAATGGTTTAAGATAACATATTCTCAAACAGCATACTCTGCAATGTACTGCATTCTATGTCTTCAAGTTCTGGAGTCCGCACGGACCCATCATAAAATGAACAATAATTTCTAGTGATAAAATTGATTCCTATGGTGTAAATGGCTTTTAAATAAGCAAAATTGTGCTTAAAAACTAATTTTAATCCCTAAAAATGAACAGTTCGGTGTGGTTTCCGGCCGAATAACATAATTGTAGCTTATATTTTTTTAAGTTGCATGATTACTGATTTTTCGTAGAGCAATTCGATGGTGCAGTGTGTTATATAAGGCCGGACGCAATCACTGTGTATTAGTAAAAAATTTTATGTATTAGCATAGTTCATAAAAAATATATAACAATATTACATATCATATTACATAATATATTTATTGATTTGTTTCTTATATTTGTATGTACATTAATAACTTATTTTAAAATATTTGTCAATAAATATTTAATATCATATACAAAAAGTAATTAATATCATTACAAGTTTATGTAAATGCTGTACATAAAAATTGAAAAATCTTTTTATTGGTAATGAAATCACAGAAATAAGAATTTTCATTCACTTTGAATTACTCCAAATGAAGTGATGGATTCCACGAGAAGATCGGGTAAGCGCTTAATTAGTTTTGACAGTCAATTAAGGTGATGCGTTTGATATCAGTTGTCATAACTGCTTGTGGGGTGAAGAGATATAAAGATACATTAACGTTCAAAAAGGCACACACAAAGAAGAGTTATTTAAATAAATAAAAGCAGAAAATTATAGGAAATATCATAAAGGATGGCAGATTATTATGTTGCGCTTGTATAAGTGCAATTTACACGAGTACTCAACAAGAGCAAGCAATTTTATTTAAGCGTACACACATACTTGAAAAAAGTCACAAATGAAACCACTTATAATAACAACAACAACAGCAACAACGAATACAAGAGCAAGTACAACTATAATAATAATAATTTCAGCTGCATTCGAAGCTCATGAATATTTGATTACGCGCTCAAACACACGAAATGACATATAAAAATATGCTGGCGCATACAAACATACAAACACACAAATACACACATACACAAGTCCTCAAAACATTTATACAAGCATACTTTCAGCCAGCTCTGCTCTGTGTGTACAGACCACACGCATACAATAATAAAAACGAAATTACGAATTTATTTGCAGATTATCCTACAGTGCAATGTGATGCACTGTGCAGGGAAGATTGTTGTTGTTGGTGTTGCAGCTTTCGGCTTGTGGCATGTTGCATGTTGCAAGTTGCGCAAATGCACCTGTGT